TTGAACCACGGTCCCTGTGCTTTGCCAAGCTTGTCTCAAGTAGGTGCTTTAGACCACTTAGCCATCTCTCCAGCCCTAGGTTCGATTCCTGATACCACATGCTGTGCCCTGGAACGCTGGGCACACTGTATTGGCTACCACTGAAACTGGGCATGATGGCATGCACCTGTAATCCCAGTGCTGGGGTGGCTGAGACAGAAGGATCACTACGAGTCCAAGCAGCATAGCAAGACACTGTACCAAATAAATAAATAATAAGTTTTTTTAAAAAAAGGGAAAAAGACTCGGTGTGGTGGTGCGTGCCTGTAATCCCAGCTCTTGGGAGGCTATAACTAGGTGGATCACTATGAGTCCAATCTAGTAGTGAGACCCTGGACATCCCGTAGACCCTTCCCTAATGAAAATAAAAATAAAAATAAAAAAGGGGAAAGGGCTGGGGAGCTAGATTGGCTGGGGAGATAGATCGGCTGTGTAAGCACCTGCTTGACAAGCGTAAGGACCCAAGTTCGATCTCCAGTACTACATGCTGTGCTGGCCCTGAAACCCTGGGCACTCTGTGTTGGCCCTGAAACCAGGCGTGGTGGTCCATGCCTGTAATCCCAGTGCTGGGGAGGCTGAAGCAGGAGGATCACTATGAGTCCTAACTGCATAGTGAGACCCTGTACCAAATAAATACTTTTTTTTTTTGGCAGAACCAGGGATTGAACTCAGGCCCTTGCACTTGCCAGGGAAGCGCTTATTCCACTGAGTCATCTCCTTGGTCCCTACATTTTTTTAAAAAGAAAGAAAGAAGAAAAGTTTTAAGACACATTCACTTTGTGTATTATTATTCAATTGGACTTTTTTTTCAGGAGTGATGGGCTTCTTGTTTCCCATGATCCACTAGGTTTTTTTTATTTTTCTCTTGTTTTTTGTTTTGTTTTGTTTTGTTTTGTTTTCAAGTGGGACTTCAACTTTTAGCCTTTATATTGAGCTATCTTCAGAGCCTTTTTTCGTTTTAAATTTTGAGACAGGATCTCTTTAAATCGCTAAATTGCCTGGACTGAGCTTAAAAATTGTGATCTTCCTGCCTTAGCCTTCCAGGGTGCTGGGATTACAGACATACCTGGCCTTAGTGGATATGTTTGATGCCAAAATTCATACTGTAAAGTTTGCTTTCAAACTGTCCATTTGTGACTAAGAATATCAGGCACCATCAATGCCACCATCAAACTGCAGGAACTTGGGAAAGCAGATTAATTTAAACATGAAGGCTTCTGGCTCATATTACTACAGTGAATCAGGGCAAAACAAAGCCATAAAGGTGAATTTCCTATTTTAACACAATCATAAAGTACATTCCTGAGTCAAATATAAGTAATTTTGTATTGGTTCCTAAAGAACATAAGTTTTAGGAAAAAAAAAAAAAA